GTTGAAATCCCTTCTCATCAGGAAGAAGGGGGAATTGAGCCATGGTAGGAGACTACCAAGCAACAGGGCTCAATAAGGGAATCCTCCTCCTCCCATAGCTGTTGTGTGGAGTTAGGTGCCCTTTGAGCAACTCTATCAGATCAAGACCTACAGGCAAGATAGGGAGATAGATGCCTGAGTGTCTAGTGTGAGGCAGGAATGTGCATGGCCAGAAGCAGAAATATAGGTATCTAGGGTTTTTTTTACTGCAAAAGTGTAGGTGCTAAGTGAGTTTACATGCCTACAGGGTTAGATGGCAGCCAAGTGTGGATTTTGTGATGTCTAACAATGGTATTTAGGAATTTAAATTCCTTTGGATCTGGACCTTTACGTTTACTGATCCTTTACTTTGCTGGCCATTTGAGACTAAGCTTTGTTTGAACATACTAATCCAAAGGGGGTTCTACTGTATCACAAACTCAGAGACTCACATTTGAAAACAGAGTTTCCATTTAAATGTCTTCTTGTGAGCACTGGGTTAGCTGAAATATACAGTATAAGCAATATCATGTATTGGTAAGTAATAGAAATAGCTATTAATAGAGTTTTTCTCTTTCCAATAATGCGGTAACTAGTTTCAGTCAAAATTAGACATTTTAGGACAAAGAATTCACATAAATTGGTAACTGATGTGGAGAAATTATGTTGGTAACCAAGTTAAGACATGTTAATTGAATCTGGCAATTATTTTTCTGTATATCAAACTATCTAGAGCATTCTGATCATTTTCTTCAGAGATAAGTACCTTTTGAATTGAATTTGGACATAAAAATCATGTCACTTTCAATGCTTTTTTAAATAACTGCCCTCCATAATAAGACACCTCAATTCTCAATACTTTAACTTTCCTCTAGAGGCACAAAACTAACACTTTCATTTGGGGAAAACTAGTGCTTCAGAAACATTCTCCGGATCCTCTTACATATATATCAAGCTCAGCTTTTCAATCAGAGTTGCTACATGTGACACAATCACAGCATAAGATGAGTAATAAATAATAATCTTCCTTTACATAACACTTATTTTCAAAACATTTCACAAACAGAAAATGCTTGCAACATCCTTATGAAGTATTACCTTTCTCAGGGAATGTTTACACTACCCTCCTAGTTCGAACTACCGTTACTCCTCGTTACTCGCGGCGCGCCTGGGCTGTCCCGCTGCGGGCGTCCTCCGCGGCTTTCCTCCGCGTCTCCCTGGTCTGACCAGCAGACCAGGTAGATGGGGAGCAAAGCCTCGGAGGCCACCCGCAGCGAGACAGCCGCTTTTGCTCCCCGTCTCCCTGGTCTGACCAGCAGACCAGGTAGATGGGGAGCAAAGCCTCGGAGGCCACCCGCAGCGAGACAGCCGCTTTTGCTCCCCGTCTCCCTGGTCTGACCAGCAGACCAGGTAGATGGGGAGCAAAGCCTCGGAGGCCACCCGCAGCGAGACAGCCGCTTTTGCTCCCCGTCTCCCTGGTCTGACCATGTGACCATGTTGGCAGCTTGGGCTAACCACCCGAGTACAATCCTTTCCAAAACTTTGCATACATATTTGAATCATGGCTTCACATTATTTGTAGCATGTTGGCTCAAGCAAGTTAACATCTGCCTACACTGGCAAACTGGGAATCACAGCTCCTACGTGCGTTGATATATCCTGACATGAGTGTACAGGCAGTCCCCGGGTTACGTACAAGATAGGGACTGTAGGTTTGTTCTTAAGTTGAATCTGTATGTAAGTCGGAACTGGCGTCCAGATTCAGCCACTGCTGAAACTGATCAGTTTCAACAGCGGCTGAATCTGGATGCCAGTTCTGACTTACAGGGAATCACAGCTCCTACGTGCGTTGATATATCCTGACATGAGTGTACAGGCAGTCCCCGGGTTACGTACAAGATAGGGACTGTAGGTTTGTTCTTAAGTTGAATCTGTATGTAAGTCGGAACTGGCGTCCAGATTCAGCCACTGCTGAAACTGATCAGTTTCAACAGCGGCTGAATCTGGATGCCAGTTCTGACTTACA